TTAAACTGTTCTTATCTCAACCCATGAGTTTTCTCACTTTTACTCTTCTGATTCTCTCCCCCATCCCACCGTGGAGGGGGGAGTGAGCAAGCGGCTGTGTGGTGCTCAGTTGCCAGCTGAGGTTAAACCACAACAAATAAAAAAGAAAAGAAAATAATACCTGCTCTAATGTGTTTTGGCTAATGGAGTAGTGTTTGATTTGGAGAAAAGCTTTGTGATTCTCTAGGACTCTGAAGAGCTCTGCTAAGCACCCCTGACTTCGTGGTACATGGTACTCGAGCAGGTTAAGATGCTGTCCCTTAAAACAAGAAAAATGATAGAAAAAGATAAAAGTGAATGCACATTCTGATGAACTTACACTTGCTTATAACCCATCTAGTTTCAATAGGCTCTTATTGCAGTTTAACATGGAAAATATGAGCTTTTAAACAAGAATGGATTTTGTCTACATTGGTAGCACAAAGAAATATTCATACTCAGAGCACACATTTTGTGCATGTTCTGAGATGACATTTTGTTAATCTCATAAAAGATATATAAATTTAGGACAATTTTATGCTATAGGTTTTTAATCCAACAGACTACTGCTGTTACAATGCAGCCTGGGAAAAGGCTGAGCGAACACACACACACACACACACACAAACATATACACAAACAGGTTCATATCTAAGGTAGTCATAGTTTTACATTATTCTTCTCCTAAACATGGATAAAGTAAAAAAAAAAAAAACAAACACCAAAATAATTAAAGGCCTTTGAGAGTTTTTCTTGGAATCTAATTATTATAGGTCTTTTGTAAGTCTTCATATCAAATAAAAGAATCTCAGTAGAGACTGAGACTTATCATCTATGGACCTTATCAGAAAGCAATCAAAGCAAATGCTCTCAGTGACTACACTGCACTCCTACTTCAGGTAAACACAAAGGCGAGTTCAACTTCATCAACAATAAAAGCAAAAGGAAATTTTCACTCAGATAAAGGGCTTGTTTATTTATGTTGCCTAAATGGCTGTTTGGAGTTGATCTAATCAGAATCACAAGTCAGATTTTTAAGAATTACCTAATAGGAAAATAAAAGGGACGCTAATACATACTTTTTCCAAAAATATCAATATATCCAAACGTGTATATATTGTTCTTACCAGTCCATACATAATCCTGCCATAGAATAAATACTATGATCAGGAGTTTTATATTGTACCTTAAACTGTGTTCCAGGAAAATGCAGTTGTAGACGGTCCAAAATTATTCTTCGATAGTTTATTTCTTCACTAAGCCAAACTTTGACAGAATAGCCATCTCCAAACCTGAGAATGATACACAAAAACATAAATCCATTTGTCTACACTATGAAGACAAGAAGAATATTTGTTTAAATTGATTTTCCTATAACAATTATGTCAAATAACATCATTTATGCCTACTATATTATCACTGTGATTTTAGTATTATACTATTGAACAATAGCATTTCAATGAGAAACTTGTTAAATGAATGATAACAAACAGAAACAAAAAGAAGTGTTACGCCTACGTTTTAATTACTACAGGATATTTCACTATCCAATGTACCTGAACTTATGCTAAAGTATGCTTTAATTACTTTATTTCTTTGAATGGTTAGCAAAGAACTACGAAGATTACCAATCACAAAAACAGAAGAAAAAAAAATCCTTTAACTTTTCTAATGAGAAAAATGGGCATGTAGCACTATTTTTCAAATCTTTTAACAAAGCTGCACAGCTTTTATTTCAGCAATGTGAGTACAATTGTGTTTTACAGATACACAAAGGCAATTACAAGGGTATTTAGAGAGATGGCAAAGTTAATGAATTTTCTTTAGCTCTATGGCCACACAATCTGTCTCAGAATAATTTAGGAAATGAACTTCTCTTTCTCAACGTACACGTGATAAAAGTTAAGCACAGGCAATCTAACCAACACATTATTTTTTATTAGATTTACTCACTGCTAATATTTAGTTGGGGAAGTTGCAATAAACCCATAAACACTGAAATGGCAACCATATTTTTACGCACGTTGCTTAAGCGATGGAAGTTACGCAGCACCAGTTCCCAGAGCAGGGTGCAAGGGGAGAGCTCAGCAGAGAGATGGGGCAACATGGGGCTGCTGCTGCATCCCTCCCGTCCCAGCCCTCCTTTGCAGCTACATGTCCTCCCTTTGGGTTCACCTTGTTGGTTAATTTCTAGGGAAAAAAGAGGAGCAGCAGCAGGAGCCAGGTCAGAAGATCTTTCCTCTGCCGCTGCTGTTCCCTGTGAGCAATGGAAAGGCAGAGCTGGGAGAGGGACAGGGAGCTCGGACTGCATTGCCCACATCCCCCCAGAAACTTGCCACTTCCTCCGTCTTCCCACTGACCACCACTCCCACATCCTTCACTCCAGCGTTACTTCCTTTTCTTCACTCTCCAGCTCCACGATTACTCATCGCCAAATCCTTTCCTTCAGTTCTTCGGTTTCTAGTGGCTATCCTCTGTATTACTCCCTCATGCCAACACCCTCCTCTCCCATGTCTTTTCCGTGTACAGCTTGTGATTCAGGGTAGCAGCTGGGTTAATTGGATCGGACAGGTGTGAAGCGCATTTTCATGTGATCAAAGCAGAAGTATGTATCACAGCACACTCGATGATGTTGCCCTTTTCCAATATAGAAAAAAATGTCTACAGAATACCAAAGTGTAATAAAAATAGAAAGGACTATTCTGAGACATATGTCCAGTTTAACCACTGTCTGAGCGACTCCCAGCAAAATACTTCACACGAAGCACGACATGTTCCTCATCTATAATATGTGTATAGCAGTGTAAGGGCTTTAACTTTTATTTTGTGTTGGACCAGAACCTCTGTTGGTATAAAGCAATAAAGACTTCACTGATTTCAGAGCAGCACAAGTTTCCACAATGAAAAATTCTAGACTGCAGATTTTATTCTATTAAGAATTTCACATGAATTCAAAATATAATTTCCAAGGATCTTCTCAGAGAAGAATCCTATTTCTTTGTGTAGAATGAAACTGTAGTTGCTACATTTTAGGTATGACAGCAGCAGCTTCTGCATAAGAAGTTGCACTGTATGAAAAGCCACATTACAATAAATTATTGTAGGGTTTTTTGGTCTTTGGTTGGAGTTTTTGTTTGTTTTTTATTGCAGTCAAATGCAACCACTGAACTTTGGAAATGGAGTAAGAAGAAACATTCCCGATGCAGTGTCCTGTTTGTTGGTTCCCGAAGGACATTATATAAATTAAATCCTATCGGGTCCAAGCTGCAGGGTACCAAATATTCACTGAGCAATAAGACCTGACAGATGAACAGTGCTGCTGTTACACCAAAAAGATCCAGAATAAGGTGGAATCCAAAGCAGTGGCTGGCTGATTTACTTTGCAATGATTTACTAACACATAATAGATCTCTAATTAAATGTTTTAAATGCATAGCATCATCCCTGAAAAAATACGTGTGACAATAAAAAAAGATGTTACAAAGATGGATATAGTTAACAAGGATGTTCAATTTAGTTGACAGCCAACCTGAGGCAACATTTTACAAGAGATCATTGATTCTGATCAGTTTTCTGGCATCTCTACACAGCCACCATTGAATTACAGTTTGAAAAATGCTGGCTTATGGAGATGTTCAACAGTCTCATAAAAAGAAATTGTTGTATGCAATGAAGTTTCCAAAGAAAATGAATCAGAATTCTGATTAGCAAAGACAGAAAAGTCTGTGCAACTTTGATTTAATTCTAAATTGTGAGCGGCATAAACACCAGCATGGCACAAATAAAAAACTTTAAAAGATTTTTTTCTTTTGGCTAGTCAAATTATGATGCTTCTATACCTTGATTTTATAATTCATTTTAGTACAAGAGCTCCCCATATAGAGTAAGCCGGTAAGCAATAAGCATTTCCCCTTGCTATAATTGAAAGCAAGCTGCTTTCAGTAGCAAACGGAGGCAGTGGAAATTGAGTTGACCATTTTTTTCACTGTTTTCCTCTCTGATTCAGACAATATAATTAATTCAGAAACCCAAAGTGGAATTAGAGGAAAGCACAATCTGGTTTGATTAGCACTGTTAGGATCAAACCTTTAGCACCTGATAGTTCAAGACCTGAGGAGGGAAACATTGTCATTAAAATGGCATAAGCTGAGCAGGCACACCTGTTCAGCAGCCATCTGCTGCAGAAGAATCACCATCTCTTCAAAGCTATTCAACAAAGATATTTTCCACTGCTAATTTCTACCATATTACTTTAACACCACCTGCATTTTTATTTGTGTATACACACACACACACAAAAACACATATTCTGACAAAAAATATTTTTTCCTCTCTATCCTTCCTCTTCTCCCTCAGTCAAACTAGTTGTTCACGTCTGACTTTCACCTCATTGGCGGTTCTGGGAGTATTATGTATTGAGTGCTTTACCTACTAAAATGCCACCATGAGACTGAAACTAAAATATAAATTCCCAGACTGATTGTAAACTAATTAACCTGAGTATTAACAACAGCATCAGCTGCAGAAGCATGAGCTTAGCAAGGACTACAAAACACATCCAACAGCTCCACACCTTTAATTACACAGGTCCTCAAGCTAGCTGAGCAGCTCAAATAACAAGGGAACAAAAGGAACATCAAATAGCAACAAGGAGTGGAACAATTTCTGTATCAGGAATTACTAAATAGGCTAAAACTTTTCAGCATCGAAGAAAGATGATGAGGTGGTAGAAAGGTGTTTTTACGGAGCCCAGAATCACGGCTGGCCTAAGGAATGTAACTAAGGAATGATTAACTTACAGCAGGGTCCAGAACGACCAGCTCATTGAATCACACTCTTCCCAAAGCCCATTTACCATCTCTTCTCTCCCCCAGTCAAAATTGCTGAATGTAACCTCAGGAAATCAAGAACATGGTCCTATTTCCTAAATGTTGATGAATAAGAAAAGCATCTAATCATCCATATGCTTTTTTTCCACTAATCAAAGGTTACCTTTCCTGGAGAATGTTTTGCTATATATATACACCAAAAAATTACAGCTCCTGGAAAGTTTACTGGTGGAAATATAATATGCATACTTTTATGTATGCTCCAGTCTCACTGATCAAAAATTACTTCAAAGTGACATGAATGGATAACAAATTAAAAAATAATAAAGAGAACACTGGCACTTAATATCTGCAAGGAACTGCATCTTTTAGAACATATGCCATAAATCAAAGAGGGGGAATAATTTACTGCTGTGCTGTTTGCCCCTCTGCTTTGGTTTACATTCATTTGCATACAGACACGGTTCTGCTTTCCCTAAGTGAATAGGCCTCATCTAGACAAGCTAATTTAGTTATTCCAGTATGATTGCTGAAGCACGGGATACAGATTCAGGTCATTCCCCTCACTGCCCTAGACACAAGTACAATTTATGAAGAGAACAAGACTTGAACAAGACTGAAAATAAAACACTTTGGAAAACATTGAAAAAAGAAACAAAAAATGAAATAAAATTATTAAAACACATGCATCACAGTTTAAGATAATTTTAAATCAGACAATAAATTTAGTTATTTCATCTATTAAGTGGCAGGTAAAGACAATATCTAGGAAGGAAAAAAGGTTATTAAATTTGAAATAATTGCTTTGTTTTTAAAAAAATGCTAAAATCAAATGCAAATATACTATCACTTGCAAAATGTGAATTCCTTCTGCAATTATTCATAACAACCTCAGTGTTGCTGAACAGATAAACTTGATTAGATGCAAACAAACAAACAGACATAACAAATAAATTATAAAATACATCTTCCATATACTATTCATGGATTTTGTTTCATCATTTTTTAATTGATTATGATTTCTCCAGGGTAACAATAGAAACATGAAAACAGTTATTAAAACAACGAGTAACACTTGTTCAAGTATATCGTACGTGCACTATTTGTTCACACACACTCCAGGCTTTCATATCAAGCCATTTAAAGTTAATTTCTGTATTCAATAATATCAATATTTCTGTATTAAATAATATGGCATTGCCATAACAGTGACAGCCTCGGGTTATGAGCAATGCAGGGTACATCTTTGCCTTGCTCTCTGAATGTAAGCATTTGAGCACTTAGGTGTGATTTCCAAATATGCGGTAAAACCCTCAAAAAATCTTGTTAGTTGTTTATACATGTGCACACACAAAATCTGTCTGTATGCGAGCTTGTATGTCTGCACATACAGGCAAGTACCAGAGATCTGTTACTCTTGTATTATTTATATGTTACATTCTCAGAGAAACAGGAACAGCAGC